GGCAGGAGCTCATTGCTCTCCTCCCCACCGAGATCTGCTCCTAAGGGAGTGGGCCCTCCTTCACCGCACAGTTAGTTTACAGTTCATGGGCGTGGATGGGTGCGGATGGGTGCAAAAAACCCAGAATTGGTGGAGGTCTCTAGTGGTAGGCCACAGGGCTCTGTCTATATCCTTTCCCATTGATCATCATTTTCACAGTTTGAATTTAGAACACAGAAGAACTGTGTTCTTCATAAAATTCGCAGCTGCCACGGTGGCGGAATCAATGTTTTGTGCAATGATTTAACAATGCTTTCAAGACTAGATGGCTGGTTGGGATCCAAGAGGATGACATCTAACCAGCATAAGGTAACGGTTTGCGTGTTTCCAATGAATCCATTGTGCAAGTAACATATAGCGGAGGGAGAGCTGGCTGGACAGTAGTTCGTGGGAAAAAGCTCTCACTGCAAATTCATTGAGTCACCAGAATAATGCAGCTGTTGAAAAGACAAATGCTTCCAGTAATGCAGGCTGCATTGCTAGAGATTGAGTGTCTAGAAAACTGGAAATGACAGTACCTTTCAACTTGGCACTTGTCAGTCCATTTACATAGAGCGTGTCTCCAGGTCTGGTCTCAACACTTTAGTAGGAGGAACAATGACAACTACAGTGCATTCCAATAAAGGTGGTCCAGGTGTTGATCCCACTTGGGGAGCCAGGATCCCTGTGTGCCAGTAACTGCAGGGGAAGTCCAGAGAAGAAGCCCCACAGACACAATAGTAGGGGACCAGCTGTGAAAATCACAGAGATGTTTTAGCCAAAGCCCTTTGGGAGGCAAGTCAACAGAAAACAAAACATTATACAACAAAAACCATACTGGAGCCAACTCAGCAAAAATAGGACTTTAAGGAAATGGGTGTAGTTTAGGATGGCAACCTTGGGGACTGGAGCTGGGAGCTGGGAAGCTGGCAGGAACCAGGGCAGTCTGACTTTCCACCTTTCCTCTGCTGGCTCTCAATACAAAACAGCCTTCTCTGTTTCCTGGGGCACTATGGGAAAGTACATCCCATCCTTGGCATGGTGTGACACGCTAAACTGCTCAGGCATGGGATTGGTGGGGACAAGGAACGGAGGAGGGTGTGAGGAAGCCAGAAGCGGGCAGGAGGGGTGGGCAGGGGCCACATAGGCAGGGCAGAGTATTAAAGAATAATCCAACAAACACCTGGATGCCCAAGGCCCATCTGTGAGCCAGAATATCACCAGGAGCAAGTACCGTTTGGGGCCCCCTGCGTCCCCTCCCTTCTCCTCATAGTTAACCACTCTGCTGATTTGCAAGTTTGTCATTCCCTGCTTTTCTTAAAGTTTCAGTGCATATGGATGTATGCCTGAGTAATGGAGGGCTGCCTTTGGCATGTCTTGATTTTTATATGATGGGATCGTGTCTAGAGCATCTTTGGCCACGTTGCTTTTTGTTGAGCATGTTTGTGAGAGGTTTGCATGTTGATATGCAGAGCTACGTTTTGTTCATTTCCCTGGCTGGGTAGCTGTCATTGACTATACAGTCATTTATTTCTACAGCTTTTTTTTTTTTAAAGATTTTTTTTTATTTATTTGACAGAGAGAGACACAGCGAGAGAGGGAACACAGCAGGGTGAGTGGGAGAGGGAGAAGCAGGCTTCCCGCGGAGCAGGGAGCCCGATGCGGGGCTCGATCCCAGGACCCTGGGATCATGACCTGAGCCGAAGGCAGTCACTTAACCAACTGAGCCACCCAGGCGCCCCTATTTCTACAGCTTTTGACTATTTGGATTGTTTGCCGCCTTTCGGAGCTAGTTGGCTGCGTCCCTGGAGTGGAATTGGAGGGATGTGGGCTGGGCCTGTCTCCCACCCTGTTAGTACAAGGCAGATTCTGACTCACCCAGGACTTTCCAATAGTGGGAGTTTCCTATGATGGGACAGGCTGTCCTGAGGGGTAGTGAGGTCCCATTCACAGGGCTGTGGGGTGTGTGTTGGGGGGGGAGACGGGCTCATATCCCAACTTCTCCAAGCTATATTGAAAGAGTGTCTGGTGCAAGGAATGAGCTGAGGCCTTGGGGGTTATCGGACATAGGTTTGAATCTAAGCTTTACTATTTTCTTTATTTTTTTAAGATTTTATTTATTTGAGAGAGAGAAAATGCGCAAGGGGAGGGAGAGGGAGAAGCAGACTCTCAGCTGAGGAGAGGAGCCCCCCCCGCCATGTGGGGCTCAATCCCAGGACCCTGGGATCATGACCTAAGCCGAAGGCAGACACTTAACCAACTGAGCCACCCAGGCGCCCCAGCTTTACTACTTTCTAGCTATATGAACTTGAGCAAGTAATTTCCCTCTGAATTTCCAGTTTCCTCTTTCAAGTGGCTGTGTACTCATGGCAGTTTGAGAGGGAACCAAGGGGCCTGGGAAGGCAGGTATTTTGAGAAAAAGAAGAGAGGCAAGGCTGGTCCCAGGACCGTGGGTCACCTTCAAGAGTAGGAAAGGCCAGCAAAAAACCCCCATCCCGGACAATCTGGGCTGGGAAGGAGAGAATGTGGCAGACTCCCTGAGAAGGAAGAGATAGTCAAGGGGACCCTTTTGGAGAGGTTAGAATCAGGGTCCCCCAATCCCATAGGCAGAACCTGGGCAGTGAAATACTTCTGCTGTCATGGTGACCATGATCCACCACTCGCACCCTCCCTTCCCCCACCACGGACCACACCCTGCTACAGATGCAGCCTCTGCCCAAACCCTCAGCCCCCGCTGGGCATGGAGTCAGACTGCCCCCCCCGCACCAGGTTCTCTCTACATCGTGAGGTATCTCCGGGCTGCGGGCCACTTGGGTGAGCCTGACGAAGGGCATTCAGAGCTTCGTGTCTGGATTTTAGGCTTGTGGCTATCACAGGCTCCTCCACTTCTTTGAGTGCTTATTGCACCCCAGGAGCCCTTGACGGCTCCATCTCACTGATTCCTTACAAGACAGACACTGTGAGCTTGCTCATTTTACAGTTGAGGAAACAAGGCACTGAGTGATCAGGTGACTTGCCCAATACGCAGAGCTGGTAGTTGGCAGAACTTGGGTTTAATCCAGACTGGTGGTTCTAAATGCCCCATCTCTGGGGCAGGAGCTCTGACTTAGTCTGGGGGATGGGCAAGGGAAGGCACCCTGGGGAAGTGATATTTGAGCTAGATCCCAAGGTAAGCATCAAGCCAAGAGGACGGGGAACCCCATATGCACAGGCCCAGGTGGGGAGCGAAGCTGGAGGGATGGGAAAAAGGGCCCTTGTAGTTGAGTTCAGGGAGCAAGGTGGGGGTGGGAGGGCAGGGGACAGGGATAGGATGTGGAGAGGTGGACAAGCTTTGGCTCCTGAGGCCCCTGGAATTCATGGTGGGTAGTTCCAGCCACAAACTCCAGTGTCAGGCAAAAAGGTTTTTATTTTATTTTATTTTATTTTATTTTATTTTATTTTATATTTTATTTTATTTTATTTTATTTTATTTTATTTTATTTATTTTATTTTATTATTTTATTTTATTTTATTTTATTACGTTATGTTAGTCATCATACATTACATCATTAGTTTTTGATGTAAGCAAAAAGGTTTTAATCCTGGGGGCTGGCTCAGTCAGTAAAGCATGTGACTCTTGATTTTGGGGCTGTGCATAGTTCAAACCCCACATTGGGCATTGAGTTTACTTAAAAAAAGGGTGGCTCAGTTGGTTAAGTGTCTACCTTCAGCTCAGATCATGATCCCAGGGTCCTGGGATGGACCCTCACAGCTTTTCCCTCTCCCTCTGCCCCTCCTCCCTGCTTGTGCTCTCATGCTCTCTCTCTCTCTCCGTCAAATAAATAAATAAAATCTTTTTTAAAAGGTTTTTTTTTTTTTTTTTAAGATTTTATTTATTTATTTGAGAGAGAGAGAATGAGAGACAGAGAGCACGAGAGGGAAGAGGGTCAGAGGGAGAAGCAGACTCCCTGCCGAGCAGGGAGCCCAATGCGGGACTCGATCCCGGGACTCCAGGATCATGACCTGAACCGAAGGCAGTCGCTTAACCAACTGAGCCACCCAGGCGCCCGTTTTTTTTTTTTTTTTTTTTTTAAGAGAGAGCAGCGAGCAGGGGGAGGGGCAGGCAGAGGGAGAGGGAGAGAATCTTAAACAGGCCCCATGCCCAGCGTGGAGCCAGACATAGGGCCTCTCACGAACCTGAGATCATGACCTGAGCTGAAATCAAGAGCCACCCAGGCGCCCCCCAAAAAGATTTTAACCCCAGCTCTACCTCTACCAGCTGAGTAGTCCCTGGGCCTGGTGGACAAGGTCTTTTCACAGGGCTCTGGGAGTGATGGGCTGGGCCAGGTTAGGTGGTTCTGGGCCCTCCAGGTAGAGCAGGAACAACCAACCGGCTGGGGAAATGCCAGATGGGGCATGGGCCTGGGGAGGGGGGCAGGGTTTGCTTGTGCAGAGGGAGGGGAGAGGGCCTGGGGAGCCAGACCATTTGGGGAGCTGTGTGCGCACCCATGTCTGGGGATGACGTGGTGGCCTTATAGGCCCAACTGAGACGGGTCCTTGAGGAGCCAACTCCGTGACCTGGGCCCTTCTGGAGTTAGGATGGGGGTGGGGCTGCCTCAAAGCCACCATTGTCGCCCCATCTCCCGCCTGACTGTCTGGGACCTAAAATAGAGCACAGTGGATCTCGTGAGAAGAGTCTGGCCAAGAGGTCTGGGGGGGAGGGGTGTGAGTCACGGCTGGGAACCCTTGAGTTTGAAGCTCCCAAAGCCCAGCTGCCCCACCCCCACCCCCAGGGAGCCTGGAATCCACTGGACAGTAGCAGGGAGGGTGTCTCTGTTCCATCCCTGTCCCATTGTGGGGAAGGGACTGGGCCCTGGCCCCAGCTCCGCCATAGGGGTGCTGGATGACTGGGCCAAATCTGCCCCCTCAGAACCTCAGTTTCCCAGATGTACCAGGAGTTAGGGACCTAGGCATCTGCTTGAAGGCCCCTGGAATTCATGGCAGATGGTCCTAATACAGGCCCACAAAGTCAGACAGACATGGGCTAAGTCCCAGCTCCTTTCCTATTGCCTGAGTGACCTTGGGCAAGTCCCCCCACCTTGTAGGGCTTCCGTTCCCTCATCTGTAAAATGAACATTGAAACCAAGTCCTATTCTTGCCTGGTTTCAGCTTCAACTATCCAACAAGGAACCTGACAGCTCCTGGGGCCTCCTCCCACCACCTCCACATCCTCCACATTCTCAGATGCCACATTTTGTGCTGCCAAGATGTTAACAAGTGACCCCACTTTCTAATGCCCTGTGCTTTACACACACTACCTCTGGTTCCCCCACATTGTGCAGGGCAGAGCTGGGTATCAGTTCCAGCCCCCTCCATGGGAGCTGTTCAGCCTCAGGACTGGGCATTCCAGGAGGAAAGAGGTCTTGGCACCAGGGTGGGCTCTCCTGGGGCACCTACCATGTGCCAGGCCTTGCTCTTGGCTCAAGCCTGAAGTCCCGGGGGGGCAGCGATGAACCACCCCATTGTGCACACGGGGAAACTGGCTCCTCTCAAAGGGGTCTGGGAGCTCCGCAAACCGCTCGCCTCCGTGCGCGGGTTGGGGCAGGCGCGGTGTGTGGGGCTGGGGTGCCCTCTAGCGGCCGCCGTGGTCCGGCTCGCGGCTGCTGGGCGAGGAAGTCCCTAATTCGGGCCGCGCGTGGTTCTGCCCGCCGCGGCCCCACCTCCCAGGAGCTGAGAACCATCTCTCCCAACCTGTCCTCTTGGCTTCCCAGAGACCCTACGCGGCTGCGCGCCCCGCCCCGATTGCCATGGAGACCGCTTGTACACAACTTCCTCCATCCCCTCTACCCTGTCCCAAGTGAAGGCCCTCGGGCCGAACCAGCGCCCGCCTAGGAGACGGCCCACGGGGCCGGGCGGCCTGGGGCCCATGAATAGCAGGGCCCCAGGGCCGCTGGCCGTGGGGAGAGTGAAATTCTTCGGCCGGCACCGCGGGGAGGTGAGGTCCAGTAGGGCTCTGCCGACTCTAGTCTCCTGGCTTTGGGTCTAGAGTGGTTCCTGATTCTGCCTGGTATTCTCTGGCCCCCAGCTCCAGAATGGGCTACAGATTCTAAGCTCCGGTTCTAGAGGGCTCAAACTCCTGGTTGACTCCAGTGTTCTTTTGACCTTGGCTTTAAAGTGAACTCAGGGCTTAGAGTAGATCTTGAACTCCTAGTTCTAGGCTTCAGCTCTAGAATGGGCTCTTGGCTCTGGGGTGCCAGGCTCTTCTAGAGAAGGCTCCAGGCTCTACCTTCAGTGAGGGCCCTGAGCTTCAGGCTCAGGTTTTACAGGATTCCAGAGAGGGCTCTAAGTTCTTGCCTCGGACTACAAGAGTGGTTCCTGCATTCTGGGCTCTGGTTGTAGAGAGAGGCTTGAAGTCCAAGCTCCCTCCCAGGGTTCCTGGGGCAGTGTTTAGGGCTAGTCCTGGAGTCTGGGGTCAGGGATGAGCAGACAGGTGTTTCTTGCCCCAGGATGGAACTACTTTTGTGCTCTCCTCCCAGGTCAACTCCTCCGCCTTCTCTCCGGATGGCCAGAGGCTGCTGACAGCCTCTGAGGATGGCTGTGTTTATGGCTGGGAGACCCAGAGCGGGCGGCTGCTGTGGAGGCTGACTGGCCATGCAGGTAGGGCTCCTCAGGCTGGATGTGGACACAGAGGCCTGTGGTTCTGTCTGGCATTCTGCAGAACCTATCACAGTGACCTCTGACATCTGAGCTGGGCATCCGGACAAGACAGCCTGGGCAGGGCTGGAGCAGGAGGGCAAGGACACAGGACTTGGTCCCTGGGGCCTTTGACTCCGACAGACCTGGACTCAGATCCTACTACTTTGTTTTTTGTTGTTGTTTTTAATTTTTAAAATAATCTCTATACCCAACATGAGGCTCGAGCTCATGACCCTGAGATCAAGAGTAGCATGCTCTACTGATTGAGCCAGCCGGGTGCCCCAATCCTACTACTGTTTTAAAAATTGTTTAAAAATATACATATTACCATTTTAAATGCACAGTTCAGCAGTGTTAAGTATGTTCATTATGCAACTTGTCTCCAGAACTCTTCATCTTGCAAAACGTAAACTCTATACCCATTAAACTCCCCATTCCTCCCTTGCCCCAGCCCCTGGCAACCACCATTCTTTCTGTCTCAATGAATTTAAGTACCTTGTCTAAGTAGAATAATACAGTATTCCTTTTTGTGATTTGCTTATTTCACTTAGCATAGTGTCCCTTAAGGTTCATCTATGTTTAACCACTTTTTTGACTGTGATCATAAGTCATGTCACCTGAGCCTCTATTTCCCTTCTCTTTAGAATAGGGGTAGTTAGGGATAGTTGCTACCCTATGGGATGAGATAAGGCAAGCCAAGGGCCTAGCACCCAGTAAGGACTCAGTAGATGTAACTACTATAATTGAGACAAAATTCTGGTAATCACAGGGCAGATTGACTAATGCTATTAATACAGGAAGTCCAGCGCTGGGACTCTGAACCCAGGGTGGGCTCTCAACAAGTTTCTGGGAGGCGCCTGCGTTCACTTTTGGTACTGATTTTACAAATGGGCAAATCAGGGTTGGGTGTTCTAGGCCAAGCCATGGAAGCTCGGCTTGTCAGGTGGCTGGAGGGTTGGGAGTGAGTGAGGAGAGGGAAGGGAGGTGCTAAGGCTGGAGAAATTAGCAGGGGCCGGTCAGCAACGGCCAGAAGGGGAGGGCAGCACCCTGTTCCCTGACCACGGCTGCTTCTCCAGGCCCCGTGAAGTTCTGCCGCTTCTCCCCTGATGGCCGCCTTTTTGCCACCACCTCCCATGACTGTACCATCCGGCTGTGGGATGTAGCAGAAGCTAAGTGTCTGAGTGTCCTCAAGGGTGAGTAAGCAGGATGGGACGGGAGCCAAGCAGCCAGACCGCGCTGTGTCCCCTTCCACCTTGCCCCGCCTCCAACCCGGTCTCTGCAGGTCACCAGCGGAGTGTGGAGACGGTCAGCTTCAGCCCTGACGGAAAGCAGCTGGCATCGGGTGGCTGGGACAGGCGGGTGATGCTCTGGGAGGTGCAGGTGTGTGGAAGGGTGGCTAGAGCGGGACCTGGGACCCAGAGGAGACACACCCCACCCCAGACAGTGGCCCAGAAAGGTCGTTCCATCTTCCCCATGGCCCACGCCCACAGCTGGCAATCCATCTGTCCATGAGGTCGCCCCGGCCTGGACTGTCCCCTCCCATCAAGGCCCCTGGCATCTCCCCAGACCGTGTCACCACATTACCCAGGCAGCCCGCAAGGAGGGCCTTATGTGACCCATCTGAGGCCTAGAATCTGGCGCCGCAAGACTTCTGGGCTGCCCTCCAAATCCAAAGCTCAGGACTCTCTCCTGCAGTCTGGGCAGATGCTGCGCCACTTGGGAGGGCACCGAGACTCCATCCAGAGCAGTGACTTCGCACCCAGCTCAGACTCCCTGGTGAGCCACACCACCTCTGCCCGGCCCTACCTCAAGGAACCCGGAGGCCACACCCACTTTCCCGCTTGGGGCTGAGCCGTGGTTAGGGTTCCAGACCTTGACTGGGTGACTGCTCTTCTGAGCCTGTCCCCTCATCTGTAAGCTGGGAAATTCAGCAGGGTTCAGAATGCCTGCTTTCTCGGAGTCTGGAACCACAATGGTGGGCGTGGGCTGGCTGGTTCGTGCTCACGGCAGACGTCTGCAGGCCACTGGCTCCTGGGACTCCACTATCTGCATCTGGGACCTCCGGATGGGGACCCCAGTGACCTTCCACCAAGAGCTGGAGGGCCACAGTGGCAACATCAGCTGCCTGTGCTACTCGGCATCTGGCCTCCTGGTGAGCTGGGTTGCCCTGGGTTCAAGGCTGGCCCCCTCTGGCTCCAGACCCATGGGCTTACAGCTGTCTGCTGTCCAGGCTTCTGGCTCCTGGGATAAGACTATCCACATCTGGAAGCCCTCTACCAGAAGCCTGCTTGTTCAGCTCAAGGGCCATGTTACCTGGGTGAAGAGCATCGCTTTCTCCCCTGATGGGTCACAGCTGGCCAGCGCTGGCTACTCCCACATGGTAAGCCCACCCCACCAGGCCCATCCTCCTGGCAAACTCCTATCCCCACATCTTCCTTTAGCAGAGCCCTCCGCAGTCTAGAAATGTCCACATCCTATTTGCCCTAAATAGGAGGGTGTCACGGGCAGAACCCAGGTGCCGACCACTTCTGTAACTAGTGCCTGGCACTAAGCTCTGTGCTGGCCCAAGTGCTTGTGGCACTGACTTTTTTTTTTTTTTTTAATTTTTATTTTGTAAAGATTTTGAGAGCATGCACACGAGAGAACAGGAGCTAATGGGAGAGGGCAGAGGGAGAAGCAGACTCCCCACTGAGCAGGAAGCCCAATGTGGGGCTCAATCCCAGGATCCCGGGACCATGACCTAAGCCAAGGGCTGACGTTTTAACACACCGAGCCACCCAGGTGCCTCCTTTTTTTCGAGTGTGTGCGTGGGAGCAGGGAGGGGAGAAAGGCAGAGAGAGAAAATCTCAAGCAGACTCCCAGCTCAGTTCAATGCAGGGCTCGAACTCATGACCCCGAGCCCAAACCAAGAATCAGAGGCTTAACCGACTGCACCACCCAGGTGCCCCTGGCATTGACATTTTTAAGACTCACCATAGCTTCAGGGAAAAGGCAATTGCACTACACTGAGTTTTTGCATCAGATATTCTGCTGAGCATGTTAAATATACCTCACGGACAACAAAACCCAGGCCAAAGGGTTAAGAGGTTGGCTAGGACTCACCCCAAAGTGATTTTAAGGATGCCAGACTTGTGGGGTGAGGTCTCCCCACCCGTCTGCTTGTTTTATTTCCAGGTCAAAGTCTGGGACTGCAACACAGGAAAATGCATTCAGACCCTGAAGGTAAGGCCTGTGGGCGTAGTAAAAGGCCTGCCAGGGGAGGCTGGGGGCAGGCAGGACATGCACCCCGAAAGTGAAATGCTTTTGGCAGGGAGTCCTGGATGTGGCCCATGCCTGTGCCTTCACCCCAGATGGGAAACTCTTAGTGTCTGGAGCTGCTGACCAGGCAAGACGCCAAGTCCACTGCTCGATCAAATCACCCAGAGCCTCTCGGATATAACATCACAATGGTTCTCAGATCTCAAGCCCGTCTCTCCCTGCCCAGGGCCCATGCAACCTGGCAGAATGAACTCATGAAAGGACAGTGAGGGCACTTCCACATCACAGCCCCCAAACCAACCACAACAGAGCACCCACCAGATCCCCGTGGCCAGGACTGTCACGGCCCCCCACCAGGGCACAGCAGCCCACCTCTCCAGCTGGGTCAGTCGAAACGCCCGCAAACACAAAGCAACACCAGCCAGTTGGTCTGTGTTTTATTGACGCCAGTGCTCAGGCTTTGACCGCATACTTCCGCAGCGGGTACAGCCGCTCCTTCCGCTGCTGCTTCTTGGTCTTCAGGTTCTCCTCGTGCTTGTTCAGCCGGCGGCGCATGGCACGGGTCTTCTTGGGTCGCAGATCCAGGGGCTTGTACTTCTTACCCTGGGTGATGGGAGAGCAGGCGAGTCTGAGCAGCAGGGTTTAGGAGCGACTGTGGCAGCAAAGGAAGCCCCAGAGGCTGGAACCGAGCTGCTGGGGGGCATGGGGAGGATGCCGGAAGCGACTGAAGGAGGCCATGGGGGTGCGCAGGTTACTCTGTAGACCTGAGTGTGAGGAGACGTAGTACACCCGGCCCAGCAGGGGACTGAGGCCCTGTCGGGGGAGCTGTCCTAGTGATGAATCAGGCCTGGTCCCTGCTCAAGGAGCCCCCAGCCCAGTGCGAAAGACTGAACAAGCTAACAAGTGGCCCATCGCTGGTGGGAGGAAAGAGATTAAGAAGGCTTCACCTAATGACTGGCAATAGCCTGGAAAGCAAGCAACTTGGTGAACACCACTTCCAAGGGGGAGAACACAGTGTACAAAAAAGCCCCGAAGGATGGCAGCTCAGGTGCTTTCTGGAAACTGCCAACAGCTCAGAGAGGGAGGCACAGGACTGGGGTGAGCTAAGTGGGGTAACAGCATCAGGGCAGAGAGCTGCCGAAACCAGCCGTGCAGATGGGAGTAAGCGCTAAGCTGGAGGCTCGGAAGCACGAGTCTTCGCCCACCCACATCCCGGTTACCCACAGCGCACTGGCCAGCCAGGGCCTCGTCCGTTTCAGGCCAACTAAGCGCTCAGAGCTCGGCTGTCGGCCAGATGAGGCACTAGCCACACACGCGGTCGCCACTAAAAACCCAGGCCTTCAGCCACCATAGCCACATGTGGCCCGAAGTCACTGTACTGGACGGTGCAGGCAGAGCACTTCCAGCACTAGAGAAAGTCTATCGGACAGAACGACCACAGGGCAGAGGCCTCACCTTCCCCGCCCTGACTCACTGGTGCCTGGCAGGGGCTGTACTCACTGGAAGACAATTCTTCCTGACGACCACCTCTATGGTCCCCCCAGAGCCTGATCAAAGAGTTCCAAGCCCAATTCTCAGAAAGACGCTCCCACACACAAATGTACACACATCCAGGGATGGCGGCACCCCCCACCCAACAGTACATGCTAGTGTCCCCTGGGGCAGCCAGCCCAGGCCCACCATGATGGCTTTTTTGACAAGTCAAAGCCTCCAGCTATTCAAATACTAACTGGGATGTTGATGTGAAGCCGTTTTGCGATATACTCAAAGCCCCTCATCAATTGACTTTAAGAGATTATCTCTTACTGGTTCTGCTTCACTACTTAAGCCCTGATAACACCAGTATTAAGGATAAGAACAAAAATTGTCGCAAAAATCCTAGGCCAAGGGGCCAGACACCTGTGGAAATCTCCCAGGAGCACTCAACCCACCCCTCCCCAAGGCATGGTTTGGAACGTAGACCCAGTCACTCCATTTACTGGTGACTCTGGACAATTTAACCTCTCTACACCCTGAGGTTCCCATCTGCAAAATGAGAGTATCAGGTGCTTGAAAGTGACTGACATAGTGCTGGTAAGACAACTAAAACACTTAAAGTTAATCCTCACAGACGGCCCAAGTTCACTCAGCTGGTGAGGATGAATTCCTCATTCATGGACCTCACCATGTGGTGAGGTCTCCAGCCAGACTCTCACCACACTGTTGATTTCCAAAATTTATCAATCTGAATGGTTTTATCTGTAAGCTAAAAAGCTAGCCATAATACATGTTTTTTTTTTTTTTATAAATTTACTTTTTTTTTTTTTTAAGATTTTATTTATTTATTCATGAGAGAGAGAGAGAGAGAGAGAGAGAGAGAGGCAGAGGGAGAAGCAGGCTCCCAAGGAGCAGGGAGCCCGATGCGGGACTTGATCCCAGGACCCTGAGATCATGACCTGAGCCGAAGGCAGACGCTTAACCATCTGAGCCACCCAGGCGCCCCCATAATACATATTTTTAATGGAAATGAAGAATTTAGGAAAGATGACTCCAAACACATGTTTCATATAAGGCTATTAAATATGCAAAACCTCTGAAGAGTTTAAAATGTGAAAGCTGTACAGCATTTAAAATTACACTTAAAATCATTCTTTGTTTTCATAAAAAAAAGTTTATATTGATTCCTACAATAAAACCTCAGTGATTAATATTTTCAACTATTAAGGTATCAGTTATGATTAAGAAATTAAGTATTTATTAAAGGAACCTTGCAATAAGCTTTCTACATACCACATCATCTTTGCTTTCATTCTTAAAGACAACTGCAGCCCTGAGGAAATGCAGTCTGCGTGCCATGCTAGTGGTAAGATGCTGGTTTAGAAGCAAACCCACCTACCAGTTGGGAAGGCTCTGTAAAGCCCAGTCCCATGCACCCCAGCAGCTCTTCATACTATCCTTCTGGCCAAGGGAGGGCTGGAACTTTGCTCCCTGTAGCCAAGCATCCTAACTCCCCCAGCCCAGGCTCACCTTGTAGAATTTCCTGAGGTTCTCTTTCTGCGTCTGGTTGATGACTGTGAGAACACGGGCGATGGATTTGCGAACAACTCGGCTGCAAAACAGAGAGCCATCAGTGAAGGTGGTGGAGCCCTACAATGCTGCCACCCCCTCAAAGGCATCTTACTCAGGACCTGACCCAGATGTCATAAGGCAGGGGTATTCCCCACCAGCTCATCCATATTCACCCAAGGGGGGTACCTAACCCAGTCGAGGAGGCAAGTGTTTTGGGGGTAAGGCCCAAAGACTCTAGGAGGTGGGCATCTCACAAGTAGGGACAGGGAAGGGCTCCTGAGAAGCTGAGCAGAAGTGGAGGGTGGATTAGGAAAGATCTTCCATCCCATAGCCTCAGAGCTGTGGAAGACCTAACCAATGCCAACCTGACTGAGCGGACTGTGGGAAATCATGCCTCAAGCTGGGCGACCAAATTAAGGAGTCACAGGAGGGGCCACTTGGGAGGGAAAAACAAGACGTTTGAGAAGTAGAAAGGCGATGGGGGGAAAGGATAAACCTAGGAACAGGCTGGGAATAAGTGATTTGAGTCATGTTGAATAGCAGGCGTGGTGGGGGAAAGAGCTGGTAAACACGGTCTTGAGGATTCGGCATGCAGCTTGTGTGTTCCCCAACTCATCCAACCCCCACCCCGCACCAGAGGTCGGTTGTTGGGGGCCCATTTTAGAGAAGAGCAAAACAAAACAAAACTTCTGGGTGGTGAGTGAGCACACCCATTAGGTAGGATGTGGCAAAAGAGGAACGTGTGCCCAGTTCAATGGACTCCAAACCCACGTCCCCTGCACAAGTCCTGACGCTCGATGCATGTAAATCAGTAAGTTAAGTACAACTCAAGTGAGGGGTGGGCGAAAGGCACCCACCCACCAAGTGAGGGGAAAAAAATCAAGTGCTGGTGGGAGGTAGTAAAAAAGGGTCCAGTTAGACTTTTCAAGGCAGTGTGAAAAAGGGTCTTGAGGGACAACCCGTTCTTTCTCTGGTCAGAGAGAAGCTGAGCAAGGGCACTCGAGGCAAAAGGACAAAATGGTCCAAGGCGGACAAGAGGAAAATCACACAGGGTTGTCCCATGCGGCTGGGTGCAAGTACGGGGAGCCCAGAGAAGCTGGGTCAGGACGCGCGTGACACTCCAACCCACGGGTCCGTTACACGATCACTTAACCCAACGCTTCCTTCAGCCAACTTCGAAAACCCACAAATGCTTCCGAAGCTCAGGTGTCCCCCACACCAGAGAACCGGGCTTCGGCCGCCCCTCACTCACATCTTGGAGAGCTTGGAAGCCGCGCCGCCTGTCACTTTGGCGACGCGCAGCTGGGACAGCTCCACCTTCAGGTCTTCCAGCTGTTTAAGCAGCTCCTCTTTCTTCTTGCCGCGAAGGTCTCGAGCCTTAATCTTGGCCTGAGCGCAAGCACAGGTCGAGGTCAAACGGCCGGCAGGGCTGCCTCCCCCCGCCCAGCGGCCATCCTCCCCTCCCCCCGCGGCGTGGCCAGCCCCAGGAGGGCGCGCTGGGGGCCCAGCTTTCCTCGCCTAGGCCGTGCCCGGGGCAGGGTAACCGAGGCCCCGGCGGGCCCGCCTTCTTCCAGGTCCGCCACGAGGTTGAGCCGCTACCCCCATTCCGCAGACGGGAAGACGGAGGCGCCGGCAGCGCGGGCTCAGCTCTCCGGGCCCAAACCAGCAGGGGAGAGGGCGGGAGACCTGCGGTGGCGGCGCGAGGCCACTCCGCACGGCGCCTTACAGGCCCGACTGGCAGATGGGACCCCAGCGCTCACCTCGAGCTCCCCACCCCTGGCCCCGAGCCCCACAGCGCGCGGATGGCCCCCGATTCCAGCGCCCTCACCATGTCTGCACAATCCGCCGCTGCCGCCGGCGGAAAGAGGCCAAGGAAAGAGAAAGGGGGCGGGGCTGACCTCCGCAACTACTGCCGGGTGGCGGCGGGCGCGGCCAATGGCCCCGCGGCGAGGGAGCCCTAGCTCCGCCCCTGACACCCCACCCCCTCGCCTGGGGAGCGCCGTGGTCCGGCCCGTCTAGCCCCGCCCGGAGGAGCTGCGCACCTGCGATTGCTCTGGTCGGCCTCGTCTCCTGAGCAGAGCATTTGGGGAAACCGAGGCCCGGGGTGACCGGCAGCTTACCGGAGATGGCACAGTGAGGACTCGAATTCGTCCATCCTGTCATTTACTCGTTCATTCATTCATTCGGTAGACCTTGCAGGATGCCCAGTC